CCATAATCCAGGCCCCTCCTGCACCCCCTCTCCCCCCCCCCCCCCCAACACAGAGAAATCGACATGCATGAAAAAAAAAGGAGGCCGGATTTGGGCACTACTCCCAAAGTGCAGCAAGGTCAGTGTTTCTTTTGCATGCCCATGGTACCCCGGGTGTGGTCCCTACTCAGGCGGGGGGCGAAAGCTAGATGCTCAGCGGATTTCTTTTCACAATTTTTTGTTGTTCCTGTGATACGTTGCATAAATAAAGCATGCCCGTGAATGGAGAGTATTGAACGTTGTCTGGAATTTTTGTTCCTCACATACATTGAACTTTCCCTGGAATTCTGGCCAAGTTACTGCAATGTATCTGGACTGTAAAGGGACACAGCTAATCTCCCCACACTGACAAGGTCAGTTTCACAGTTTAGACTATATTTTGCTGGCCAATGAATTAATCAGATATGCCTGGCAAAGGAGAATAAAGGCGATTTTTGTTCTTATAGATTTCCAGAAAGACATATGATCACACTGACTGGGACTTTCTATGTAATTGCAAAAATTTGCCAAAAAATGAATTTTGGTCTAGGCTACCAGAGTGGCCCGGGGTCACTTGCCCGACCGGGCCAAAAAAAAAAAAAAAAAAACAGTAAAAAAAAATATTTTTCCATTTTATTTTTTATTTTAAATTTGGTGAAGAATTTTGATGTGACCCTGAGGCAAAAGTTGTTCAGTTTATTTTTCTGCATAACATAGTTTTTTTTTGGATTTTTTGGAATGTTTTTTGTTTTTGTTTTTTTGCTGGAACTTCCTTGGTCCTTGCACGGGCTGGCCACCCGGGACCCGGGCGGCCCGGCTGGTAGCCTAGATTTTGGTCCATTTTTCTGCAATTGCGTCAGTATTTTTCACAGAAAAGTCGCCACAAACATAATTCCCAATGGCCACCTTGACCCCTCTTACCCCCCCCCCCCCCTCTCCTCCTCCCTGTATTCCCTGTAAAGATCGCTCAGGCAGGGTGATCCAATAGCTACACTTCTGTATGTTCTTGCAATAAAATCTCTGGCTATAACGATCAAAGCCAACTCGAATATCACACCATTTGAGGTCCCAGAAATTCCCTACCAGACCCATTACCTCCCTCTTCGCAGACAAACTTACTGTCCTGTGCGAGGCTGATGAACCTAGCATTCACGCCTTAGCTGACAAAACCTCCCTCTTCGAAATAGCCGCTCGCACTAAGACTGCGGGCTGGTAGCTACACCCAAGTGGAAGCGCACCTCTAGCCAAGCCACAAGTGCATGGAAACTGAGGAAGAGCAATCAGATATGAAACGGTATTCACCAATTCGTGGTAGTTGAGACAGATCCCAGGGCTCGATCCCTAGTTCCCCAACTTACCTGTGTACAGTATGGATGTTCCCAGGGCTCGATCCCTAGTTCCCCAACTTACCTGTGTACAGTATGGATGTCAACCCATAGATTTGAACCCGCGACCTGTAGGACCGCCAGTGGTAGGCAGGGTTTTGTAGGTCACAGGGTAGAAAGGAATCGAACTGTAGACCTGTAGAATAGGAGTCTAGACAGTTCCGAAGTCGTAGCTGTAGGATGCCTGAAGAGTCAAGGTCGTGGCTGCTACTTACCTGAAGGGGCAAAGTCGTAGCTGCTACAGTACCGAAAGGCCAAGTTCGAGGCTTCTAGAAG